AACACTACACTTATAAGTGATCCAGTACGTATTTTGTGTGTGAAACACTACATTTATAAGTGACCCATACGTATTTTGTGTGTGAAACACTACATTTATAAGTGATCCAGTACGTATTTTGTGTGTGAAACACTACATTTATAAGTGATCCAGTACGTATTTTGTGTGTGAAGCACTACATTTATAAGTGATCCAGTACGTATTTTGTGTATGAAGTGTGCTTAACGTTTTCAACTGTACCTTTTCTTTTTATCATGGAACTTGAAATAACTATTACAGGTTTGTTTTCAGAGGCGTCGGAACCGGGGTTACAGGGCAACCTCCACTTTTACATATTTGACTTATAGAGCAACTGTAAATGATATTATTATATTAATTTTCTGGGGAGTATGCCCCCAGACCACCATAGATTGAGCTGCTTTTAGCAACACCTTATACTTTCAATCTTTCATTGTAAAATTTGCATGTCTAGCCAAACACCTACACTTTGCAACTCCTTTCTAGACCACTGGTTTCGGATATTCGTGACAACTGCTTTAATTGTTCCTAATTTTACACTGTTAGACTAGAGCAAAGGCAGCTAGTCAATATTAGCTAATTCACGGGCTACTCTAATCAAAAACCCATGGCCCCAAACTGTGGAGCGCGAATATTTCGGCAACGGGACGTGAGCCGTGAACCCTAGGATTCACAGTGAGGCATGTTAACCATTTAGCCACGCTCGGGCCTTACATTCGCAAGTTTTATTATTTTTTTTTTACCTTGATATCAGCCGAATTTACCGAATGATAATTCTTCCGTAAATCATGTGCTTTCAGAGACATGTAGAAATTATTTACAAACAATAAAAAAAACTGGAAATAACATGAGTTAGAAAGAAATATTCAAATAGTGAGCGAGAAAGATTTTGTTTGATCTATAAGGTTACCAGACCGGAAACAAAGTTAAAGACCGTTTGCTGTCAAAGTCCGAGACCTAAACGTCGAAAGAAACGAATGTTGCGACTTTCACGCTCACATCGCGTGTAGAATACAGCTTTACCGATTCACAATACGTCAATGACGCACGGCCGCGCTGCTACAAATTGGATTGACAAACAGAGCAAGACAACAATACTTACAATTGTTTCCAGTGTGTGTTCCCAAGTCTTACAAACGACCACCCTCTGCTCCTATCCGCATGTAGCCTCCGCGAAGTAAGGCACGCCGCTGTCGTAACGTTATGTCACTTCTCTTCAAGGACCGACTTTGTGAATACTAAAGCCGGTAATTTCAAGGCGGTAGGGTCGGGTTCGAACCCCAGAGGTTATCGTTAATGATGATTTAAAATCTGTTGTACCAAAGACCCCAGCTGACTCTTCTTTCTTATAAGAACTTCTGTTACTACGGTAATAACACCCGTGACAATAAAGCATGCGGGAAATAAGGCTCACAACGTTCGACAAAACAGGACGTCTTTTCACGTGCAAAGATCGCGGTAATTTGAATAGAAACCAATAGTCTTACACGTTTTCTGATGATAATTCTTATATTCATTTGACAATGTGTGCTTTGAAAAGCTTCGCTACATGCAACTGGAGAAATACTGTAACGAAACTTTAAGTCCTCTAAACTTACATCATTTATATAACGGTTCTTATACTTTCGCAACGGGTTTACTTACTCATTTGAATAGTTCACCAAAGAAAGTTTAAGAAAAAAAAAGCTTGGATTTCTAACTGAAAAATACTTGGAAGGGAAAATAACGTAATAAAGACACAAAGCATCTGAGGTCAGCACACGAATGTAAATCAAGTTTGTTTGGTGTTAAGCACAAAGCTGCACAGCTATCTGTACTCTCCCAACTGCGGGTATCGAAACTCGAGTTTTTGCATTGTCAACCCTCAGATTTACCACTGAGCCACCAGGGGTATAAATCAAGTAAAAGTGAACCGAATAATGACAATGAGATGTCTTTACACATAAAATAAGGTGATTAAAGTGGACATTATTTAACGAATACTAAAGAGAGCTAATAGGCTGCTGAAACCATCACATGAACTCGAATATGTGAAGAAAGATTTGTTTGTTTCGTAATTTTCACCAAAGCTACACAAAGGCTAACTAATTTTGACTAGAGGTAAATCAGGCAGCTAATCGTCAACTGCTGGAATGTTCTTACCCGACGAAATAGTAGAATTTGACTACAACTTTTACACCTTGTCCCAAAACTCTTGGCGCATTTATCAGAGACTTGTGATAAAATGAATCCATGTATTCAACCTTACGTCAGCACTTGTATTGGGCGGGAAGACTATAAGTTAGTAAATTTATTTGTTTGTACTTATGCGCAAAGCGACACAATAGGTTATTTGACCTGTGCCCAACGTGGGTATCGAATCTCGAAATTGAACACTGAGCCATCGGGGGGGTCTCTATTATTAAAGTAATGATTATCATACAATGGTACAATAACTTTTTTCTCTTCTGGAGAGGACAAAAATATCACCCAGTAGGTCAACTATAAGTTTACGGACATACAACGCTTAACTCTAAGGTTCGATTCCTCGTGTTGGACAGATTACAGATAGCTTATTGTATAGCTGTGCGCTATAACAGAACAAAGAAACCCACGAAAACGACCAAATTGAAGACTAAACTACGAACATTGTTTTAATAATTTTGTTTTACATACAAGCTGTAGTTAGAAGGAAGTTTGCGTACAGTTGATCTATTTTGAACATTATCATTTCAAGAATCATTTTTACTTTGTGACTGCTTTTTTAACATCGCTAAAAATGACACACTTCATATAACATTATAACTTCTATTTCACCTTGCTGCAAAATCGAATGGCATTTTTTTGTATGAATCAATATTTAAAACATCGAACATATAGCAAGTCTCAGTTTCGCAAAGTAGCTTTGTGTGCGTTATGTTCTTCATGCTAATTATTTTGTTTTTCGCTACTTACAATTTTTGAAAGTACATTAGACAGACTTAGAGAATACTAAAAGAAATGCATGAACTAATGACTTTAAATATTACTGAATAATGTTACTGAAAACATAAAGTAAATATAAAACCATTTATATCTGTCTTCAAAATATACGTTGTAAACTTAGATATTAATATCACCTCCTCTAAATGGCACCCATATATGTGTACCCAATGTTTAAAAAGGTACAAGACTAGCCTCAGATACCATCAAAATGTATCAGTGAACGTTGAAAATTGTTTGGAGTGAGCATGCTTCCTCATCACCCCCACCCCCCAAATTATGGCTTTATCACTGACTTCTTATTTCCTCCAAAAGTAGTATCCCCCTTTTTCAAGATTTCTCCCTACGCTCTTGAGTTTTCATAAATAGTTTACTATTAAACAATTTTCATATCATTTTTAAAGTTCTATCTTATGTTTATGTCAGATATTTAATACTTATTTTGTACTTAAGATACTGTAAAATTTTCCATAGCTTCTTTTACCAGTTTTTTTGGAATATTGTACGATTTCTTTTACTGAGTTTTTGTAAATATTGTACTATTTCTTTTACTAGATTTTTGTAATATTATACG